CTGTGGGGTCAGGCCACGGCCTGGTCCCACAGGCCGAACTGGCAAATAGCCAAATAGGCCCTGGCTGTAGGCCAGGGCAGATGAAGGCCCGCTGCACTCTCGCTGTTCATTCCACGAACTGGGGCAAAAAACATTTAGAGATCCAGCGTCCTACCCGCAAGTGGCATTCAGGAGGTCTTGGGTTCAATTCCCATTTGCCTCATGTACCTTCCTGGGCAAGTAGTGAATAGGAAATACCATCAAAGCAAAACAAGGCAAACAGACATGACATCTGCAAATGCGTGAACAGGACAAGACGAAAGCAGAAGGTACAAGAGGAGAAAATAGAACCCCCGAGTGCAATCATGCCTCGTATGATTTCCAATGAACACAATGGTAAAGACGCGGCGACGCGGCGACAAGCGCCGTACAAGTGCCGTAAACAGGAATTTAAAGCTCAAGTTGGCGAAGACTCCAGACACGTGTTTCGACCGGCTCGCCAATGTCGGTCAGGTGTGGTGCTCCGCCTGGGACAGAGATGGAGATGGAGGAAGAAGGGGAGCGAGATGGCACAGCGCAGCTCCCACGCCAGACTCCAATGCACGTACTCCAGAGTCCAAACTGTGCGAATGCAGAAGAAATCCGAAAACAGACAACAGCTGGGGTATACCCCAGCGGACTGACGGGACCGGACTGGACTGGCTGGTACCGACAGAGGTACCGGCCTGGACTGGACTGCCCCGAATACAACACAGGCCTGTGAGAACAGGCCAAGCGGCTGGTCTCACAGGCCAACCAGAGGTCCACTACAGTCCTGATGCTACCGGCTGACCCCTGGCCGCTGCCCGGTATCGCCCCCACCTGCTGTATCAGGTATCGCACCTGCTGGTGGGTGCAGCTCCCCCATGCTCCCTCGTTGGAGACTTGAGCACCGATGTGGCTGCTATCGGGTTGCCTGTAATACTATAATGAATGAATGACAATAAAAAAAAGGCCTGAAAGGCCATCCTGTCTGGATTCTAATTGAATTGGTTGGGCTTCAAAGAATTAGCCTTTCAAGGACAACAACAACACCCCCCCCAAAAAAAAACAGTTTGAATTTTGATGCAGTGGAAGGACCTGGGACGAGGTCCCACTGCAGTCTTCCCCCGAATACAACGTACGGTCATTATAGCTGAATTAATACGGAAAGCTGGACCAAATTCAGCTATAATGACCGTACGTTGTATTCGGGGGAAGACTGTAGCAAACAGCATGAGATTGAGCGCCCCAATCTAAACATGTCTAATGCAGGGATGCTAAAAAGCAGATCAGTCGTGAGCTTCTGCACCTCACCACAAACTCGCCCAGATTCAGGCGCTGAATCCAGTCCTCTTGGTGGGACTTCACCCCTTCTGTAAGATCATGTTATTTTATTTTAATTTTTAGCATTTCACAATTTGTTTCTGTTTTTTTTTTTATTATGTAGAATTTATTTCTTTTTTAATTACCAGCACCTCTCCCAGCAACCTTTTTTTTTTTTTTTTTTTAAATCAAATACCTTGCAATAGGTTGCCAATAAGGGACCTGAGGCCAAGGATGACACGCATAAATCGAGAAATAAGGGACCTGAGGGGAGGCACAGGGATTGCTCCTGTTGGCTTATGATCCCTGATGCTACAGGCTGTCCCCTGGCCGGTATCACCCACCTGCAGGTCGGGAGCAGCCCCCCGGCATGTCCTCTCGTGAGCACAGCTCTGGCTGCTACGGGGCTCCCCATATGACTAGAATTAGGAGTAGTGCAATCACCGCCGGTCTGGTCCTTGGCCTCTACAACACCCTGGGCTTTATATAATTAAAAAAAAAAAAAAAAAAGTAGTAGTAGTGGTAGGTAGGTAGTGTGAGGTGAAATTGAGAGAAGAATGTAGCTTGGCCAGATCCCACCTGCAAAGAGGATTGGAGTATTCGTGGAAAGGTGCAGAATTTTGCTATCCACCTGCTTTTCTGCATCTCTGCTTAAAACCCATCCAGATTCAGGTGCTTGATTCCATCTTCTTTGCTAGTGGGATCTAGGCCGGGGTCCCTTTGGAAAAAAAAATAAAAAATAAAAAATAAAATTGTTCAAATGCCCCTGAAAGTTGGAGTATTTTGTCAGATACCCCTAAAAGGCATGGGGATGGTGAAATGCCCCTATCAGTGCCATCAGAATTGCAAAACTTTTGCAAAATACCCCACTCACCAATCGGACCTGTCATCTCTTGCATATACCCCTACTACCCGGCCATGGGCAACTTATCTATGGGCGTCGTTAGACACTCCTCGGGGACGCGATTCCAAGGATTCCATCGTCGTTCCACCTGTCCTCGGAGATGAAATCGGAAATGAAAATGTGAAAACACTCCGAGGACAGATCCTCGGGCTCCGAGGATTTCCCAGCCAAATCGTCCTCGAACTCGAAGGACCTCACGAGGTCCTTCGGAGCCCGAGGATCCACGATTAACGGGGTGTCGGCGGCTACTCCAGAATGGAAATTGGAGGCCGAAGGTGGTCCAGTGGTGGTCCAGCGGCCAAAAGACGGACATCCCCGGCCGTCGTAGTCGAAAACCTCCAGCAACGGCCTCCTCGTTTTACCGTTGGCGCTGAATCGCGGGACGGCCCTGTAGGTCCTTCGGGCGGCCCCACGGAGGGGCCATGGCGATCGTCGGACGTCTTCGGCCGGCGCCCAGAGGCTTCGTGGCGTTCCCGCGGGCTTCCCAACGGTCGGAATTACGGATTTTGTAAGGGTCCTCCCCCTGTCGTTGCTTGCATGAATTTCGTTCGTTGGCGTCTTCCCTCTCGCAAAGTGTCTCTGCTCGCCGCGATTGCGACAACGGTTCTGTGTCGGCTGACTTGACGTTGATGGCAGACTTGTACCGCAGGCTGCCTTTGCTGCTGCTCGTCGCTCTGCTGCTGCTCATCGTTGTCGTCTTCCACATCTGTTTCCTCGGTCGCGTTCCTGGAAGGAAACAGACGCGTCGAACGGCGAAGAGGGCGACGAAGATGGATAAGTTTCAGACGAAGACGACGCTGTCGGTGGGAGGCGGGGGGTCCTCGCGTCAGCGTTGCAAGAGTGCGGAAGGCGGCAGGCGGTCGTACGACCCGACGCTGTACAGCCACCTGCCGTCCCACGAGATTCCATTACCTCCGGGTGACGAAGACGTCGACAACCCCAAATCCTCAACGGTTCCTCTGGGCAGCGGCTCGATGCAGGATTGGATGGGGAACCAGGTGTACAGACACGCATCGACGCCGACGTACACTGATTTGCTGGAGGGTCGGACCCCCGCTGGTTACGACACTGGACTCGTCGATCTGAGCTTCGGTCTGAGGTCTGGGAGTGGCGAGGGCCTGACGCACACTGTTCTCGTTAACCCGGCTTCTGCCTCGAAACACACATCGCCTTCTGTGAGGGCGGCTGGCCCTGCGGATAGTCGTGGATTCGTTTCGCCGAGGCGGGTGGCTTTGAGTACAGCAAGTGTGGCAGCGTCGAAGAAGAAGACAGTCGGATTGGCAGGCTGTCGAATGACGACGCCAGGCGGTGCAATCGACGGAGAAGGGGACGACGACGAGCGCAACGCCACAGAGGTCGTCGGTCGTCAGTTTTGGGATGATGAACGGCAACGATTGCGTTCCACGAACACGGCCAGCATAACGAGAGGGGTGGCGAGAATCAGTGTGGGGGCCGAAGAAGAATTTCAGGACTGCGCTGGTGGAGGGGGCGAGGAGATCGCTGCAGACGCCGGCGGTGATGACAACGACGAAGACGACGACAACGAGATGGAGATTCGTCCAGTAGGGAGGAAGCGCGGAGGGTCGACGGCGAGAACCAAGGTCAGAGAATCGCGCACGGGGCGGAAACACAAGAAGAACGACGAAGAATTGTCGGCAGGCGACGGAACAAAAAGTAGGGATTTTTGGACAGTGGAGCATATGATCGCTCTTATCAGAGCCAAAAGAGACCAGGATTCGCATCTGGCCGGCCTGGGGCACAACCACGGACGGATGAAGACGAAGACATGGAAGTGGGAGGACGTGGAGAAGAGGCTGGTGCAGATGGGGGTGACGGGTAGGAAGGCCGTCGACTGCAGAAAGAAATGGGACAACCTGTACCAACAGTTCAAATCCGTGCACAAGTTCATGGGAGAGTCCGGCAAGCCTAACTTCTTCACTCTAACGCCGGGGGAGAGGAGGGAGCGGGGGTTCGACTTTAGGATGGATGAGCGCGTGTATTCGGAGATGAAGGCGATGTCAAGGGGCGATCACACTATACACCCCACGAATCTCGCGGACACGGTGTCAAGCGGCCACAGGTAGTGGGCCACCCAAAATCAGCGGTTTTGAGTCTTCGACCCGATGACTAGACCGTATTTTGACGGTACTCATGTTTGACCTGACGGGGAAAATTAGGGGTACCCAGAGCACCCCTAATTTTGGATGTGCTGACCACTGAGAGTAACACTCAAATTAACGAGGGGAGTTACCGCTTTTACCACACTGTGCCCCACCTCTCTTCCGCTTGCTCCGAGCCTATTCCCGAAGCAGCTAGCCGCGGGATGGGAATACGGGAGTAGGCCTTCGCATGACCGTTTTACTTTGCACAATTGGAGCGGGAATGGAGCCTCGGATTTCATTAATTTTAATATCAGAATTAAAAATGGAAAAAGGAATTAAGAACAATAGAAGCGAAGAGAAAAAACGGGATATTCTTTATTTTATTAAATTTCCTCGGTATTTAATTTTAATGGAATCACCGTCGTTATTTGTTATTTCCAGTACTAAAATCAAAAATAGGGAAAGGAATCAAAAACAATAAAAGAAGAAGAAAACAAAGAAAATTTTGTTATTTAATTGAATTCCATCGGAATTTATTTTTGTTGAAATTATTTTTATTTTTATTATTTTTGATGATAGGATTAAGAAATAAGAAAAATAATTAAAAATGATTGAAAGGGAAAAAATTAATGATTATTTAATATTTGATTAAATTCTGTTTAAATTATTCGTGAAGAGCTTAGGGCCCGATTATTTATTTACCCTGATTGAACGATCCTCCCTATTCTCTGAGAATTGAGATCGCTCACGTGACTTACCTGATATATCTGGTTACTAGCCTTGGCGCAGTTGGTGTGTTTCGAGAGAGCGAAGCTGCATGGCCAGCGTGGGTTGGTGCTACCTTGGTCCGACTGTATTGCTTCGGTCGCTGGTTCGGTTCGGACACATGATTCGGGGGGGGGTCCGGTACTATTACAGGGCTGTGACATTCTACGACATTCGGTATATTTCAGGCCCGGGATTGGTTCGACAACGACATGTTTCATACGGGTCACAGCGACTCCGATTGACTATTCCAGGTTCGGTTTACTTGGGCGGCTGTGGCACAAAATGGTTGCATCGGATCAGGTTCTGCATGTATATTTTGCCACGGTATCTCTAGTTCGGCACTGATATTTCGACGCGGGGTCATTGGTTCTGCGTGGAGATGGCACGACGGCAGCGTTCTATAGAGCCGTCACGACCCCCGAACGAAATGCTGCAGCTCCACCTTTTTATTTTTCAGTGTGATCTGTGCCTCGGCGTTTGATGCGGTGTATCGACAGCTACGAGGGCCTGGACGCAGGTTTAGTTTTGGTACTGCCACAGTTCCCCACTGTCCGACATTGGTCAGAGTGACCCAGTTACTGGTTCAGCAATCCTGGATCAGGGCGACAGTCCCTAAGTAGCCAAGGCAAAACCCTTGGTACCAGGGCCGGTCCAGCTACTGCAGCAGGTTCGGGCCGTGGGTACCCGTGAGCGTAGCGCCTTGAGTCTGGGAGCTTGGACAAGTTGAGCGGTAGTTCGCATAAGGCCGGAGGGGGGAAGTCTTGGGGACATTCAGGCGGGGGCAATCTCTCGCGGCATGCAAGGTGTACCCCGCCCACGTCGCAGATACGGACGAAGTCAACGGGCATCTGGACATGGAGACGGGGGGAGCTTTTCCAAAGCATGCACGGTGTACACAGCCCACCGCTGCCAACGCTGGTTGAAGTCAACAGACACGGACAATGAACAGCGGTGAGCGCAGCGTAAGTACCTGTTCGTCGGTAGCTATGGCGGCTGCTGGTGTGTGTGAGTGAGACAACAAAATCGAGGGGGAGAGAGACTATGCGCTTGTAAGCACGGAGACCAGTCCTGAATGGCGCTATCAGATTTCCCTTTTCTGCTGAAGATTCTCTCTCACATCTGAACCTGTTGAATTGACGTGTTGAGTGAGTGAGGCAGATAAGCAGGGCGTTGGGCATTGACGGTGTAATTTCCCGTGCTCCAACAGCATATACATGCCATCATTCATTGAGGGGTGTAGATGAGCGGGGATCACGTGTGTGACTCCGAGAGAGAGAGAGAGAGAGAGAGAGAGAGAG